GCAGCAACAGGTTTACCTGCATCTGCTCCACCACTGGGTGCGGCGGCGGCTGGGGCGGCGGGTGCACCAGCAGCGGAAGCACCTGAAACAAAACAAAAGAAAAACAGGAGAAAAATGAAGTTTGTGTGGTGAGATCAATCGGTCACTCAAAGAGCTGCATGGTTAGCCAAGGAATAGTTATCACACCTCGAAATACAATGACTCTATCAACTGCTGAATAATTCCGAAACTCGTGTGCTTGTCACATCGACACACCTCCAACTGACATTATATTGCATGAACAGTGAAGAAGGCTTATTAGTGAAATACTCACCTTTGTCACAATCAACTACATTCGGATAGGTGACAGCGAGTGTGAACACCAACAATGCGATCTGTGGTGGAGACAGAAAGAGGAGACTCATGAATACAGGTGAATTAGTTAGTCACTTAGTTAGTTAGTTAATTAGTCAGCTAGTTTTCATGAATGTCAAGAATGAAAGAAACAACTCACCAATATCTTCTCCATTTCTGACTTCACTTCACTCTACTTCACTGAAATCTGATCACTTGGTCACTTACAATCTCTTTTATAGGCTCCAACATGTATCAACCTCTCTGTTTGTCAGTGATCTAGTTCAATAGATTTTATGTCACGGGTTAATTGATTAACACGTTTGACAAGATGACCTCCCACTGAGTTATCCATATCACGGTGACAATCGACTCACAGTCATATTTTGTGGTTGACCTCAACTGACGCGTTATAATATTGATTTACATAGTGAATCACGTTTTTCATAATAGGTGTTAAAATGACTAAGTTTGACTGAGTGTGATATATGTAAGGCATTTTCCAATTGTACATAATCACTCATAATTCGTGTATTTTGACCAGGTTACTCAGTTTTTTGCTTCACCTATTTTATTTTCCTTCTATTTTGATGCATGAATGTATTCAGTCTTTTGTAGTACAACTGACAATGCGATTTTCCCCAGGTAATCTTCTGCAATAGGCACTAGTTCACTGATTTTTGCATCAACACGCCATATTATGCAAGCGCTAAGTGGAGTTCGCTTTCACAATATAATCCTCAAGATATTGAGTACCCTATAAAGGCAGAATTACTTCTGCATATCATTTCACTAGTCAGAGCTGATACATTGTCATCCTCACCTCATCGACACCAGATTCTTCAGATGACCTTGACACTTCACCGTCAATACATCTTTTCTAACCTATCAGTTCAATCCTCCATACTTCGTGCTCCTCAACAATATTTCCAAATGGTCTATTGGATAACGCTTTGGCGTTTGAAACTATGGGCACTGGGTTCGAGCCTCAATGGGAACATAATCACTCACTGAGAAACGCAGGTACATCCAGATGACGAGTCCCAAATAGGATGAAATGCGCTTTATCCTGGATTCCACTGCAAGCCACCATTCACCAATTGCATTCTAATTAAATGCCCAGACATCGTCGAAGCATCTGCACAAGAAGCCGACATGTCAACCTGAGACCAAGCACTTCGGTCCAATCAATCGACGGGAAAATCAAAAATTCAATTCAATATTTCCTATCATTCGTGATGTTTGACCTATGAAATAACCGCTACTTAGCTTTCTCTATATTCTCTCCATAAAAGTTATCCTAAACCACTGGGTGTCATTCTCTGTTTATGCTGAATAAGCCTCATCAACTTCATTTTTCATTTCGACTTCTTGATTTATTTCCTTTCTACAGGAGAATTGTCAGATTTCTAGTGACGGAAAGGTAAAAATGTATTTTACTGTAGGGCATTTACTCAAAATGACCTTCTACGTAATTCGCCATCAAGTTAGCATGCTGCTAATAAAAAACTCTGAAATATTGTCCAGTGGTAAAAGTGAAAACCTGTGAACATAACAACCGTCCTGTTTACTCCCGTGGAGGGTCTCTTGTTGTAATCAACCAATTGTGATGTTTGTGGCTGGTGTTATTGTTGAATTAACTGGGTGTAAGATCAATTCTATTCCCATCCTTGAATCAAGTCAACCTGTCCCGGATCAGCCTAGCGTTGTTGCAACCCAATTATCCATGCCTAACGTGTCTATCCCTGCTTGTTTAATGAACTGTGTGTATGTGTTTTTACCTCGATCCGTTTAGTCAGACAGTTGAACTCATGGCCCAATCAGAGTATTTTGTGAACTGTTATTTTTGCTGACCCATGTCTAACTTTGTACTATTCTGTCGAGTTTATCTTATTTATTGATTTTCATCTGTATTTTCCTACCTGGTTAAGTAGCCAATTAAATTCTATCTTTGTGCCTATGCTCGGTCTATCTCTCTTAAACGCTCTCTGTTTTATGCCATACCTTACTTGGGTTCATTCTTCTACTGACTGCTTACCTGAACGGTCGTGTCTGGTTCCGGCTAGTTCGCAATTTTGGTTTTAACGTTATTCCGCTCTGATAGCGGTACCCTGCTTTCTGTTAAGCATTGTGCTTTGTACTCTTGAAACCGTTAAGGTTTGTTGTATATATAATTATTGATTTGTTTATTAATAGTACCGTAGAAACAGTGACCGGCTTCTTGTTTGTTCTGGACCGGGATAGCCTTTATCTACGCGTGACTTAATTTCAAGCGATATTGCGCTTACAGTACTTAACGTTAACGTTACAGAGGAGATCGTACTGAACTGGTCAGTACTTAACGCTAAAGGGATCGAGACCGTACTGAATTGGTCAGTACTCAACGTCAAACGGATCGAGACCGTACTGAATTGGTCAGTACTCAACGTCAAACAGGAAAGACCGTACTGAACTGGTCAGTACTGAACGTTCATCGAGAAGAAACTGTGGTGAATTGGCAGCACGCAACGTTGTTGAAAATACATTTTCTTTGGAACAATGCAAACCAGATCAGGGAAGCAAATTTCGGAGCAGCAGTCGGAGAGTCGGCAAGTCCCCGTTCGTATAAATGATCATGTTGGTAATCTTTCGTGCCCCGGCTCTCATGTCAGTAGTTCGAAATTATCATTATCGCGAGTAACTAGTGCTAAGTCGTTGCTACTAAGGGCGCAGCTAAAAGAGAAACAGCTTCGAGAGGAGTTAGAGTTAGAGAAAAAGTTGCTAAAGGCTAGACATGATGTCGAAATGGCCGAGCTGCATGTGAAGTTAGCCGAGGACGACGAACGGAAAACTCATGGAAATACGAAAAGAGGCACTGTCAATTACGCTCGAATCAGCGAAGACAGTATCAAAGACGACATCAGAAGTCTACATCAAGCTGAGCTTAAGGATACTGAAGAAAACGAAGACTCATTTTCTATTGAAGATCGTAAGGCAATCGAGTTTGTTACTCAAAGCACCGTCTTAGAAAAGGCGAATTACATTATTCCCTTGCCATGGGAAGATCCAACAAAGGTAACAGACAATAATTATGTAGTCGTCATAAAGCCGTTACTCAATCTGAAACAGAGGTTATCGTGTGACAAGAACCTTTTAGCACGATATGTGGATGGGATAAATACGATGTCAAAAAATGGTTATGCCCTTCCGGTACCAACAGAGCAGCTAGCAGCGAACTATCGTTCGAGGTGGTATCTTCCACATCATCCCGTTATGAAGCAGAAAAAGCCAGATAAACTGAGATTAGTTATAGATTGCGCCGAAACCTTTAGAGGTTATTCTTTGAACGATAAGCTATATCAAGGACCTGATACGATTGCCGAGCTTGTTGGTGCTCTGTTGCGCTTTCGAGAAAAGCCTATTGGTGTAGTCGCGGACATAGCTGATATGTTTATGCAAGTGAAGGTGCCAGTAGACGATCGAGGAGCATTACGATTTCTGTGGTGGCAAGATGGTTGGCTAGGCGTTGGCCGCGAGGAGTTATTGCGGAATGCGAGCAATCCGCGGACGAACTTGTCAGAACGGTTACAATAAGAACGAGAAACGGCGAGGTGAAGCGCGATATACGTAAGATATGCCTACTAGAGGGAAGTCATTTGTAAGAGAGCCGGGCACGAGGGTTATTCTGTATAACATGATTCATAAAATCCTAGTCGGATTTTGGGGGCCGGTGTAAGATCAATTCTATTCCCATCCTTGAATCAAGTCAACCTGTCCCGGATCAGCCTAGCGTTGTTGCAACCCAATTATCCATGCCTAACGTGTCTATCCCTGCTTGTTTAATGAACTGTGTGTATGTGTTTTTACCTCGATCCGTTTAGTCAGACAGTTGAACTCATGGCCCAATCAGAGTATTTTGTGAACTGTTATTTTTGCTGACCCATGTCTAACTTTGTACTATTCTGTCGAGTTTATCTTATTTATTGATTTTCATCTGTATTTTCCTACCTGGTTAAGTAGCCAATTAAATTCTATCTTTGTGCCTATGCTCGGTCTATCTCTCTTAAACGCTCTCTGTTTTATGCCATACCTTACTTGGGTTCATTCTTCTACTGACTGCTTACCTGAACGGTCGTGTCTGGTTCCGGCTAGTTCGCAATTTTGGTTTTAACGTTATTCCGCTCTGATAGCGGTACCTTGCTTTCTGTTAAGCATTGTGCTTTGTACTCTTGAAACCGTTAAGGTTTGTTGTATATATAATTATTGATTTGTTTATTAATAGTACCGTAGAAACAGTGACCGGCTTCTTGTTTGTTCTGGACCGGGATAGCCTTTATCTACGCGTGACTTAATTTCAAGCGATATTGCGCTTACACTGGGAAAGTGAATATGTTCGTCTCGTCTATGTCCACAAAACACCCCTATTTTCTGCTGCAGAACTCTACTTTAGTGCATGAAACAGTGCGTGGCTGGCGAGCACGAAAACTGCACTTGATGTATCAGCACAACATGCGTGGAATCTATGAACTGCTACTCAGCTATTGACAGTTTAAGCGTCGCTTTTCGATGACCTACAAATTCATATATCCGAACAAATGCTTGCTATGTCATTTCAGCTTGATAATTTATTTTTCCGCTAACACTGGCACTTAGTGTAGCCGAGAACATTTCAAGCAATATCATTTCAAATGCTTGGTTAGTACTCATTTGTCTCATAGGTTCATATGTTCCCATAACATATATCTGAATTTGCTGTCCTTTTACTTTAATCAAATCCTGAAGGCTGCTCTTGTCAGAAATCGTTATTACCTTGCTTTCGTTAAATTGTTTCAAATAAACACTCCTTGGAAGAAAGGATACTTATTCAAACTACCAAAGAAAGGAGACTTAAGTCAATGTAAAACCTGGCGCAGAATTATGCAAAATACTAAGCCGAATCATCCTGGAGACAATCAAACACGCCAAGCTGGATGAAAAACTTCGTTTGAAACAGGCTGGATTCAGGAGAAACAAATCATGTATTGATCGAATCGCCACTCTACGGATCATCGTTGAACAAGGCTTAGAATGCCAGTCACCTCTCTATCTCAATTTCATCGACTTTGAAAAAGCCTTTGACAGCGTCAATAAAGAGGTGATTTGGCAACTACTTCGCTACTACCAAAGGGTTCCATTGACAATGATACATCTCATGCAACAGTTATACGACAATGCTGCATGCCAAGTAATCCACAACGGGAAACTTACGGGAGCCTTCGAAGTGAGGGCAGGAGTGAGACAAGGCTGTCTACTATCACCAATGATTTTCCTGATTGCAGTGGATTGGATAATGCGACAGACAACGGCAACCAACGAGGGAACAGGCATAAAATGGACCCACACAAAAAACCTGGAGGATCTGGACTTCGCCGATGATATGTGATGATGAAGATTCCTGGCCAACAACAACAACAGACAACAATCAGCCAGCAAAAATGAGAGGAACCTGAAAGAAACAATCCCTTTACCTACCCACCTAGAAGCATCGTTTCAACTTTAGGCGGAAATGATGAGGATATCAAAGCAAGAATCTGAAAAGCAAGACAAGCTTTCATTACTCTTAAGTCTGTGTGGAAGTCAACAGCACTCAGAATCAAAAATAAGATCCGGATTTTCATGTTAGTGCTACTATATGGATCAGAGACTTGGCGAGTCACAAAGAGCACCTCAAACAAACTACAGACCTTCATCGCCAACTGCCTCTGCTCAATACTCAAGATCAGATGGCCGGCCAGAAAAGATCAGCAGCAGAGATCTCTGGGAGCGAACCAAACCAGCAGTAACCAATTGTGCAACAAATAGGCAGGAAGAAATGGAGATGAATTGGCCATACGCTGAAGAAACGATTAAGTGACATCACTAGAAAAGCCATCGCTCAAGTGGAACCCGAAAGGAAAGCGGCGAGTTGGTCGTCAGTGCAAGAGTGACTTGGAGGTCATGTGAAGAGGAGATGAAAGCATGTGGGAAGACTTGGAGCGGGGTGAAAAAGTTGGGAGAAAACCGAAGGCAATGGAGGTGCGCAGCTCAAGCCCTATGTTCCTCTAGGAACTAAAGAATATAATAATAATTAATAAACACTCCAAACTCACTTAGTTTAAATCTGTGCGCTATACTTATATCATTACTGTTCCATCAGGTACCGAGTGGAATATAATAAGGCTTCGACAACACATCTCCTCTTGATATTTAGATATGATGGAGAAGATTTGTATCTCAGGTGGATGATCTGGATATGGTTGTGTTCTCCAAGCTAGGAAGTTAATTTGCGAAGCATTCATCGCCCCCTACTAGGCGACATCTTCAGCTCATTTAGGCCAAACATATGAACAAGTCAGAGGAACACTCGTCTGATTGCAGCAGCAGTGATGCAAAAGCTAAAAAACATAAGCCTACCAAAGATCAAACCCGAAATTTGGATGCGTTTCGTAAATAACACATTTATAATAATCAAAAGAAACGAGTTGGATAAAACTCACTCAACTTAATAAACAACATCTTCAACTATATCAAATTCACAAGAGAAGATGAAACCAAGAACAAAATCACATTTTTGGACGTATTAGTCAAGTGGGCAACCACAGTTGAATTAGGAACTCAAGTTTATAGAAAATCAACTCACACAGACCAAATCCTGAATGACAACAGCAACAATCCAATAACACACAAAACGTATTGCATACAAACACTATTCAAGGGAATCCAGGACTCATTGCAGCCCTTCCACCTTAAGGAAAATTGAAGAAAGATACCTCAAAGACGTCTAACAAAAGAATGGATATCCACGGAATTTCACCCGAAGACATATACTCCCAAGCCAACCTAACAAAGCAAAGGCCACCAAGGAAAGCACAAAGAAAATCGCCCTACCATACATAAAGGATATCTCAAAAATCACTACAAGACTCTTCAAACCCTTAGGAGTTGACGTCGCACACAAACCAACAAAGTCAATTCACTCAATTCTATGTTAAACAAAAGACTCAACAACGAAAGAAGATAAAACCAACATCAGTTACAAAATAAATTGCAACAACTACGAAAAACACTACGTTGGCATAAGTGGACGTCTCGTTCGTCATTTTATCCTCGAACATAAGCTAGCCATCAAAAGATACAACATCCATTCCCTCATATCACTCACTGCATACGGACAACCGTGGACTTCAATTTGACTGGGACAAAGTTCAAATGATAGACAGAGAAAACAACAAGAATGCTAGGGAATTTTAAAAAGCCTTGTACCCTAGTGAATCATCAATTAATATACACATCAAAATAGACAAAATTTATCAAACGCTAAGAAATTAACCTCACACACACAAAGGATCAAATTTCAAGTCAAAGAAACAATCAGTTCCAATACAAGTAGCTACCTAGAAGGTATAGAAACACACAAAAACAACCAATCACGAGGTCCAAGGTCACCCGTGGAGAAATATAAAAGCTCACTTCCTCTAATCGAAGAATGCACTGAAGATTTCGCCTAGTAGGGTGATGAAAGCTACGCAAATTAACTACCCAAGTCAGAGAAACAACAACATCAACAACACATCTCCACTCTGCCACATTTCCTTCCGCCCTCCTTAGCTGATTTCAATAATCTGTCGCCTAGTCACCACATAATCTCCTCCATGTCATTTTCGGCTGACGCACTGAATACTGCACAAATCCGTCTCTTTCCTTGGAACAGAACCTATGCCGTAAACCATGAATTTCATCTCTGGCAATTGTAATTCAAGCGTCATCTTTTGCACCAACACAGAATTTATGAATCCAGTCAATTGTCTTGTGTACGACTTCAGTTAACAGAAATCTAGTAGAATCTTACAGAGAGTGAAATCCAATCCCGCTTATTTATCGATAGAACACTGACTGTTGATCACTGCTCTTCCCAAGAACTATCACCAATGAAGGTTTGAATTAGATGTGTCTATGATTTCGACACTCAAGATCTTAACTTCTAACACTGCTCCATGTATGTCAATTTCCCAGGTGAACAGGCAACAGAATGAGAGAGATTTAGGGTGTCTACCACCGCTACTTACTAAAACGTAGTCCAACCACTTCACACTACAATACTCATCATTGAACACATCCAGTACTAATGATAAAACCTGGTTAATACCATTATTCAACAAAACACAATTTTAAATACTACGAGCAATCCTGAATAGTGTCTTTCTCATATAACACTCAGTCAAACTTAGTCATTTTAACACCTATTATGAAAAACGTGATTCACTATGTAAATCAGTATTATAACGCGTCAGTTGAGGTCAACCACAAAATATGACTGTGAGTCGATCGTCACCGTGATATGGATAACTCAGTGGGAGGTCATCTTGTCAAACGTGTTAATCAATTAACCCGTGACATAAAATCTATTGAACTAGATCACTGACAAACAGAGAGGTTGATACATGTTGGAGCCTATAAAAGAGATTGTAAGTGACCAAGTGATCAGATTTCAGTGAAGTAGAGTGAAGTGAAGTCAGAAATGGAGAAGATATTGGTGAGTTGTTTCTTTCATTCTTGACATTCATGAAAACTAGCTGACTAATTAACTAACTAACTAAGTGACTAACTAATTCACCTGTATTCATGAGTCTCCTCTTTCTGTCTCCACCACAGATCGCATTGTTGGTGTTCACACTCGCTGTCACCTATCCGAATGTAGTTGATTGTGACAAAGGTGAGTATTTCACTAATAAGCCTTCTTCACTGTTCATGCAATATAATGTCAGTTGGAGGTGTGTCGATGTGACAAGCACACGAGTTTCGGAATTATTCAGCAGTTGATAGAGTCATTGTATTTCGAGGTGTGATAACTATTCCTTGGCTAACCATGCAGCTCTTTGAGTGACCGATTGATCTCACCACACAAACTTCATTTTTCTCCTGTTTTTCTTTTGTTTTGTTTCAGGTGCTTCCGCTGCTGGTGCACCCGCCGCCCCAGCCGCCGCCGCACCCAGTGGTGGAGCAGATGCAGGTAAACCTGTTGCTGCGGCTCCTGCTCCTGTCGCTGCTCCAGCGGCCCCCTCAGGTGAGTTAATCTCTAATCCATATATTTCACCATTTTACGTATTTCGTATGTTTCCCTGTACGGGATCATATGCCCTAATGTTCAGGGACTCGACGAACACCGCAGGATATTCACACTTTCGTCTTTTCATTGTCTTAATCGCAGTATACCTACTGTACACACAGGTTACTTTTGCAAGACAAACACTCCTCAATGACGATCACACGGTTGTTATCCGTCTGCATGTCGATCCATTCAGAACATGTCGTTTGTATATCATCGTTTGCAGCTGGAACATGTTCATCACTTTTCCATTCGGTCGGTCGTTTATATTTTTGTACGCTACAAAATATTACACACACATCGAGATAAGCTATACACTGCAAAGATTGCAATGAGACACGAACTCCTAAGTTCTTTTGTATGGATGGAATGGAGGCAACAGTGTTGTCATATGGCCATGTCAATTTGTAAGTCATGTACTGATATTCTCAGAGAATTATCAATCGCATCAGCAGAGATATTTGTTGAAATTGACCTGTGTGAATATTTGACAGTTTGTACGACTCAGATAGTTGAATCCTTCTACAGTCGCCACAAATCAATATTTGCATCGGAATCATCACAATATTAACACCATAATAATAGTTCTATGTCATGTGTATTCTGAAGTTTCTTCCCTCACTGTTTGCAGATTTGGAGAAGTGATGTGTTTCGACTATACACACACAATGAACATTAGTAATTTCATCCTGTCATATTTCACAGGTAAAAAGGATGCTTCTCCTAAGAAGGCCGCCGCGCCCGCCCCTGCCGCTGCTGGTGGCAAACCACCAAGTGGACCAGTGAAGAAGCCATCAGCTGGAAGTAAATCACCGTCGAAGCCATATCGTAAGTTCACTCTCTTCTCACTGTTACAATCACAATATCAATAACAATAATAATATTTCTTGTGTTAGTACTTCTTCTACTATTGAAAACTATGAAGACTATTGCAATTTTGATTCTGTGATTTCAACGTGTTTATTTTCCTACACACACACTCACGCAGGCAGTCACACGTACACACCCTCATCCTCAACTTCACAACATTCCACACAGACACTCGACACAAATCATGTCGTTACGCTTCTCTATGCGTCCATGTTATTTCACTCATCTATCTCTTTCACTTTCATCGTTTTTAGATCGATATCGTGAGTATAGCTAATACTAACACTAATACTAATACTACTATTGGGCATTCTTCTCCTTCATGCTTTCTGTTCACTCCTGAATAAAGATAAATCGTCTCCAATTCGATTTTTTTAATGCATGTCACAGATTTATTCTCATATCATTTCACACTTCACAGCCTCTCTCTTCATCGTTTTCGTCTTCACTACTGCACGCTTTGATCATCTGCTCCATTCGAATCACAATTGTGCGAACAGCATTGCGACTCTTCCACTTACGCCTGGTATGCACTTCTGCCTTCTATTATTCCACAGTCTGGAACTTAACTCATCTTACCAACACTCAATGCTCTGATGTGTATTCATTTCATTTTCACGCGCCTCAATCACTCACTCAATGCTGACTATCTATCTATCTATCTATCTACCTATCTGTGTAATCATGTTTCTCTCTGTAGGTCCACCGACTGGAGGAAAGCCGAGAAGAGACTGGAGATCTCGATATGGTGAGTTTACACACACACATGTAATTGCTTGTTCATCCCTTCCCACGCCCTTCTGCTCTCATTCTCTTCAATCAATTTTGATGTCTTAGAGGCAGACACATTCATTCTTCATATTGGTTTTTATTCACTCGCGTTTTGTAAATCGGAAGGATAATTCTTCATATCTGCATCATTTCACATTGTATCTCCTTTCGTTTGTTCACTGCTGTGGTGTTCTGTCTACACTGGATGAGAGGTGTCTGTCCTCTTTTGAGAGATCCATTCATGTGTCAGTCAGAATATTGTACATATTGACGGTCGTTCAGCTGAATGTTTATTCATGTGATGGGTGGTCATCAGTCAGTCATTCAGTTAGTCGGATATCAGCTACAGACAGATATTCATCTCAGTCAATCTACTAGTCAGACAGCTCACAGCCGCCCTTGTCACCTGGATATTGAGCTGTATTCAATTTGTTTCCTTTCCTCTCTGTCTATATTTCGAATTATTACTATTTCTTTTCTCCTTATCTCTCATTTCCAGGTGTGAAGAAACAGTGAGTGAAGACATGAAGTAATCTGCAATACGTGCTCTGTCAGGAAATATTCATCGCTGATTATTGATTGTTATGGATCATTGAATAAACTTTCCATATTACACCAACGTCTTTTTTCTCACTTTTCGTGTCAACATTACCCGCCTGTTTGTTTGTTGTTCTGTTGTCCTGGACCTAAGTGATGTTGCTTCTATATCCCACCAATTCTCGTTTGCTGGTTTACTCATTTTTCTTGCATAATGTCATTGAGATCAATGCAAATTTAATTTAAGAGATGAAGTTTCGTCAATTTTATTTAACATCCAGCCCGAGGCGTTATGCTTTAGTAGGTTTTATTTTAGTTTTAACTGATATCCGGCTGGACGTGGTGTGTCTTCATCCGTGTTACTGCTTCAGTAGGAGTCGCATCTTGTACTGCCACCTTTTCACCTGGCTTTCCGTAGTTTGATTTCATCTAAGATTTCTGCTTTCAATGGAGTGTTGGTGTTATCTTCCAGGTGTCAGAGTGCTGTTGGTGGCTTTTCTGAACGATTTGCAGGTGACAGTTGGCTGATAAGTACTTTGAAGTGATCAGTCCATTGTTCTACTTGTCTCTCCTCTCAGGAATTATGTTACCTTAGCCATCTTTTATTGGTTTCATCCTCTGAATTGATCTCTTCCCACATAGAGACTTGGTCATCTGATTTAATGTCCTCATGTCTCATTTACCTTCGGCCAGTTCTACTCTATTCATCAACCGGTGTGTCGTTGAGTAGTCTTCTGTCTTTCCTAGCACTCTTTATTGCTTCACTATTGAGTTCAGTGTGCATTGAACGTAGATTCTCCTTCTGTAGTCCATCTTTGCATTGAGTCACCTTCTCTCTCACCATTTTCCCTTCTTCGATTCGCTTCAGGATATCAATTGAGAGCTAATCTGTATCTTACTTCTTCTTTCTTCGTAAATCGGTTGTACACACTTTCCTTGAACGTCAACGTCATCGAGTTCCAATGCTCCTCCACACAGGCGTCCTCAGTGATTCCACGTATTGTCTATGACTTTGCTGGGATAACTGCAGTGGAGATAATTTTGTGGTTGCATCTCACAGTTTCTGAGTGTTGGACCTACATTTCGGTATGTTTCCAGTTCGTCTGATGTCACCCAGCTGATTCCCAAAAACCTCTTGCAGTATATGATTTTCTGAGCTTTCACCTTCTCCCCTGTACGAATTGGTTTTCAGAACCACGGTTCAGTGACGGGGCATTGAAATCTCCAGCTGTGGTTATTCGGTCATAGCCCAAGTCTCGCATCCCTGTGATAGTGCTGAGCATTTCCTGATTGTGCTGTGCATCATAGGTGGGAGTTTCTTAGATGTCACCCAGTAAATGCTTGGTTTGACCTATGGTGAAATGACACCATATGGAGTCTGAGAGTTCAATAAGTGGTGGGTCCGTTGCGCGCACACATTTAAGTTGCTCGTCAATGTATATAGCAACTCCCCCTCTTTCCCCATTATCCCTCTCTCTTCCGACCACAATCATATCACTTATAATGATTCTGTTGTCGGCGATAGTGGGGGTTAGTCACGTTCCAGTGAGAATGGTCATTCTTAGTTGTAGGTGTGCTTGTGTAACAACAGAAGACAAGGGCCAGGCAACAGATCGTTTTATTATGAAAATCAACACGTATTTATACATATTTCAGACAACATTATTATAGACAAGCGCAGTCATCTGATTGGTTGTTTAGGTAGACAAACGCAGGCTTCTGATTGGTTGTTTCGGGATTCCTTGACAAACAGAGTTCTCTATCTGCGAATCATATTTTGCCACGTTAACTTCGCTGTGATTGGTTGTTGACTCAGCCTTGTTCACGGCCCATATTAGTGACCTAGACCTTAACGTAGATTAGTGCCAACCAATCGGCTAGCAGCCTGCTCTCACCACACTCGTCCCCCCGTCAAATACGTGCGACTGAAGTCGGCTTGATCTACTTGGTGCAGGCGTCATCGTTGGCTTGTCTCGCTGTATCCATTTCTGGAGCTCGCTGACGTTCACGCGCCTCTCATTGTTCGCCATTGCGACTGTGTCTGCGTAACCCCATCTCGAAGTGACCATATATGGTCCTTCCCACTTTGGAAACTGTTTGCCTGACCCTGTCGAACATTCGTCCATACTTCGGCCCACACCTTCATATGCTGCTTTCGCCCGACCTCCCAGCAGCGTCTCAAGTAGCAGCTCCATCGCTGACAGATCTTGAACGCCACTCAACTGCGCAGAAGCCTTGAAGTCCTGCCCGAAGATCCATATGTCTCCATCAAAAACTGCAGGGTATAGGCTTTTCATTTGTCGGTAGGCAGCGACACCAAATGTAACAACAGAAGACAAGGGCCAGGCAACAGATCGTTTTATTATGAAAATCAACACGTATTTATACATATTTCAGACAACATTATTATAGACAAGCGCAGTCATCTGATTGGTTGTTTAGGTAGACAAACGCAGGCTTCTGATTGGTTGTTTCGGGATTCCTTGACAAACAGAGTTCTCTATCTGCGAATCATATTTTGCCACGTTAACTTCGCTGTGATTGGTTGTTGACTCAGCCTTGTTCACGGCCCATATTAGTGACCTAGACCTTAACGTAGATTAGTGCCAACCAATCGGCTAGCAGCCTGCTCTCACCACACTTGGAGATTTCGGAGTTCACCAACTTTTCCTCTCAGCCCACTCACATTGCTATAAAGGCAGCTGACAGTGTGTCTAACAACCTCAGCGTGTTGCGGGGCAGTTGACATGAAGCTGTCTGCTGGCAAAGGACTTAATGTTGGGACTACTTGGCCGATTCCGATAGAACCGGCCCGTTGAAGATTTTTCCACTGATTTAGGCAGGACACTTGGGTGACACAGACTGTTATTCTCAGAACTGCATCACTCTAGTGTCACTAAAGCTTGGGGACGTATTGAAGCCTCAGTTTGCTGCCTCCTTATGGTTCGATGTCTGCTATCGCAACATCGGATGTGTCCTCCCATTTTTCCCTTTTGTCACATACCACCGCTGAAGTGCTATGGACAACTGCTCCGGGGAGTTGAATGTGACACTTAGCAGCTTTGGAGAGTTAATCAGTGTTAGATGAGGGGGCCGAGGTAGTCGAAAAATGGAGATGGCTTCAGACACGCCAAGGGTCATCTAAGATGACAGCCATCTCCATTGCTGTACGTCGTTCATGTGTTTTTCACAAGCAGTGCCGGTTTCTAGCTCTGAAACACCGTGTACCACCATAGAGATGAAAAGCATCAGTTCCGATGACTCCCTCGCCATATGTCTGATAGCCCATGGTCCATCTTGTCTCACCCTTATGTTAGAACCTCTGTCCAGGGCTAGTACCTGAGCCATTAATAGTACTTTTTCAGCCTCTTCGGCAGAGTCCAGTGTAACTCGTAATGGGGGTGGCTTACCCTGAGGCATGTGGACACCCCTGTACAGCCTGCACAATTTTGCTGAACTAATGTTCAGACCTAGTTGGCTGCACAGGTTGGACCACTGTTGTTGATCAAACAGAGCCCGTTGTTCAAGCAAGCTATTCTTTCTCACAGGTACGTTTAAGAGGATAACAGAATTAGACGGACTAACCTCAGACTTAGGTTTGGCCTTTGGCTTCTTGTATTCCTTTGCGGCGTCAGCAACTTTAAGCTTCATCAGGTTCTGGCCAGCCTTTGTTGTGTTGCCAAGCTTGCTAGTG